CTTATATTACACTGCCCGGCGTCTCCCTTCACCCACCCCTCTGCTGCCTGTCCCCCAGAGAGGAGGTTATATGTAGCTCCCTGTGATCAATTCCCCCTTTCTACACCCCCTTTCCCTCCTGGTATCGCCACTGTCATCCCTGGTCCTGAGAGGTTCATCTGTCCTAGATTCCCTGCATTTCCAATTCCCATCTGTACTGCTGTGCATCATCTGGTCTAACCAGGTCTGCAAGGCAGAATTGGGGCCCTGGTAGTTGGGGGGAGGAAGCGTTTAAGAACTAGAGGAAGGTTGTGGGTTTCATTATTGCTATACTGTACCCTAAGTGACTCATCTCCTCCCCACTACCCCTCTGCAAGGTATGTCCAGTTGTCTAGAGATGGGCATTGGGTCTCCATCATGCGCCACCCTCATTGACGAGGATATGATATTTGCACCCCCCACCCCACCCCGCCAGGTCTGGATAGGACTGCCCCTTTGGGTTTCCAGGGCTGTAACTCTTTAACGGGAGTAGCCAGCCCCATCTTTCTCCTGTGGAGGGGCTGGTGGTTCCAAACTGCAGACCTCGTGGTTGGCAGTCCCACGTGTAATCACGATGCCGCCCGGCTCCTCTTCTGCATCTCCAGGGCGCTATAATCCATTGTGCTGGGGGACTAATTTTCTTTCCTGGAATGTAAGCCCTTTGAAGGTTTACGGTCCACTTTATTGAAATCCCCTCCCCGCCCCCTTTACTTTTGCAGCCTTGCCTTTTACAGAGCAGGGGCTCAGGAAGTAAGTCCTGAATGAAAGAAGCCATTCATAATATAACTGTTTTCCAGGGTGGTTTCCAGGGTGGGTGCAAGGGGGACACTGAGAATGGCCACGGCCAGAGCCGTCAGAGGGGCTTTGAATGGCTGCCTAGTAATTTCTGAATCTGCCTGGGGAAGAGCGTGGATTTACAGAAAGCCACGAAGCTTATCTTTAATAAATAAGAGTCGGGCTGCTGATCAAAACTGTACAAGAGTTAACTTTCACAGTGGCATCGTGAATGTTCACTCTCAAGTGAATATGCCTCCTGTCATTTTAAAGCACGTCCCTGGTGAACTGCATGCATCCCCATTGTCTAGTTATTTTTAACCGATAGCAACCCTATGGAAATGTTAGCGCACAGAGGGGTTTGAAGCTCTGGGCTTCGGGCGGCACGCAAGTCATCCACGTGCTATCAGTACGTCCCCGGGGAGCGAAGTCCCAGGAGAGTGGGAAATGAGAATCCCCGGCAGCCTCCGCCCTCTCATTTTCTTTTTTCCTCCGGTCCTTCTCTCCTTCCTGTGGGCAGGATTGTAGCAACGTACATGCGAATTGGTTGGACCAAAAGAGAGGTCGAGACTAATTATGGATGCCTGGGTTCCACAGGAGACGGTAGTTGCAGGGTCTTTTCACTGGATTGTACGTGACTAACAGTACTGGCATGCACTGAATGAAGGGGGACTCCACTGGCTGGACTTCAGTGCTTCAGGCTAAATCCCAGAGGCGATTCAGCAGGATTCGTGGGTCCAGGAGTCCTGGGCTCTAGTGCAGGTAGCCACTCCCACACCTGGCTGCTGGGTAAATGTGCTGAGTAGCAGCAATTCCTGCCTAGGAGCAGATTCCTGAACTGCCTGCCCTGCAAGGCCCCTTCCAGCCCTACCATTCCACTCACTCACTCCTTGGGATTCAGGGTCGAAAGATGGGGAAATACCGCCAGCCTCTCCCGCTGGGCAGTTACCCTTGGACTTGGCCTCTCCCACCCTGACTTTTGGTCGAGTAAATAGCACTTTACAGCGATTACAGTTACAGGGTGATTTTTGTGTTTTATAAAGTGCTTTGAATTCCTCAGACAAAACATACTGTATAAATGTTACAGTTAATCTAGATTTCATAATGCCTCTGTTGACTCAGTTCTGAAAAACAAATGGAGTGTTTATTGCTTAGTTTATCTCATCCTGGAGCTTGCTGGTATTCAAAAGGGGGATGATTAAAGAAAATCTGAACAATATAAGGAAGGAGCAAGAGATTTGCTACTGCTGCCAAGTAGGACTAACAGTTCACTCTGTCTGATTTTCCAGATAAACTACTGGATTATGAATTGCTCCTTATAATAATAAACTAAGTGGTATTTTATCCCCGTTTTTGTTTATGACTTGTTGCCAGAGATTACTTACAGTGTATACACAGACAAACATTTTCTGAATATGGGCCAGTTAGCTAACAAATGGCAAGTTCCCTATTGAATAAACCTGTTGAAGATGTGACCTTGAACTTTTCCACCCAGCCCCAGCCCGGACTTTTTATTGTGAATTAGGCAGAGGGTGACAGCAGATCACAGGTTTACATGCAGCCATTAGTACATACTCTGGGTCATCTCCTCCATTGCCAGCTTCCCAATGTGCCAGCACGCTTCTGCCCTCGCTCTTAAGCCCCTCAATGGTGCCTTTAAGTAACTGCTACCTTTTCGATCTTAAATGAAAGGTTATTGTAATACAGGAGTGGATTTAGGTCCAGACCGGGTCCCACCAGTCTCTATTCCAACCAGTAAGGCTGGTCTCTTTTATGATTCTGAGTTCGGGTCCATGTTTTCCTCCTTTTCAGAGCCATGGTAGTGGCAGTGGCAGTGGCAGTGGCAGTGGGCACCATCTAGTTTTCCTGGTCTCATTCGTGGTTGTAGAATATAACCGTGTACTTGAACAAACTGATTAATCTTCTGACTTTGTGGTTATTCAAGCCCAAGGTTATGGTTGTTGTCTCCCTAAAGTTTCTAGCAAAGATTCAAGTAAAAGTTAAGTCACTCTGTCTCCCTTCCAAATACTATAGAGTTCAAAGCAGCTGTTGCTCTGACTAGGTGCCTTCCTGTTCCTTCATGGAACATCCGCCCTTCCAAATGTGGCGGTGCCCACCTCCACCCTGCCCGGGTTTCCTGCCTTCTGTGTTAACGAGAGTTTATATCGTGTCCTGTGCATTGCTGGGAAGAAAATGAAATCTGTACAACAGAAAATGGTATTTTGAAATTAGTGTTATGTTTGTTTGTGGGGAAAAAAGAATAGGATAATAATTTGTTTCTGTTTAACAACCCAACATTTCTTTCATAGTTTCTATCACATCTCAGGATAGTTATTAGGTTTCTTGAAATTAGCCAGAGGAGTATGAGTTAATCTCATTATACTCTTAAATGTTGCCTCTATTTCTTGATGCTTTCTCTAAGAACAATGGCAGACTCTTTGAGAGTTCTGATGTATTTGACAGGGAGCAAACTTGCAGTACCAAATAGTTTTATCTATCTGTTTGTCTGTCTGTCTGTCTGTCTATCTATATATATATTTGAATACTCTAAAAGCAAACCATCTCACTGCCATTGAGTTAATTCGACTCATCCTTACGCTGTAGGAAGAGTAGAACCGCCCCTGTGAGTTTCTGAGACTGTAACTGCTAACTCAGTGCAAACCGCCCCCTCTTTTTCCCTTGGATTGGCTGGTGGTTTCGAACTGCTGACCTTGCAGATCACAGCCCCTCGTGTAACCACTACGCCACCAGGGTTCTCCTTTTCGGCCTATGTCCTGGTGTTTTAAGAAGGTGTTATCTCACAGTGGAACGTTTTAGTCACCCTTGGCCGATGGAGTTGCTGTTTGGGGGGAAGATGCGTAGGTGCTGGTGAGTCGGTTCTGGTCTGCAGAGACCGGCCCATGTGCAGCATAGGAAGCAGTGCCCGGGCCTGCGCCCTCCTGAAAACCGTTGCTGTGTGTGAACCCCTGGTTGCACCCACTGTGTCATCCTGGTTGTGGGTGATTTTCTTCTTCTTTTTTCTCACCCTCTGCTTTACCAAGCATGATGTCCGTTTCTACTGTCTTGTCTACACCAAGCCACGCTGCACGCCTACTCCTCCTTCAAGGCCTAGCCCAAGGTTTACGTTCTCTCTGGGGCCCTGCCTGATTCTCTTCATCAGAATCTATCCTGTCTCACGATGACCAGGCAGTTTGATAGCAAATTGGCCGTGGAAGGATGAAAAAGTGGGTTAGGCCAGCATTTGGAATGACTAGATGCTAGCTTGAGTTTAGCCTTTGGGTAACAAGAAACTGCCCTTAGAATATTATCCCAAGTCCAGTCCTCGGTTTCAGTTCTAACCCTCACTAGAACGCACGTTACATTCTTCTGTCCACCTGGTAAAACGTGGAAAGACTCACAGTTACTTGGGGTAATCTCCATGACTTATGTGGGTGCTTACGTCTGATTTCGGGGGGAAGAAACCCTTACCTGGTGGTCTGCTGGACCTCATGCCCTTGCCCCAGGGCAGGCCTGGATACAGGAAAGGAGCAGTCGAGATCAAATGGAGCTCTGCAGTGGGTGACTCTGCTGCATAAGACCTCTCTAAAGCACGGGTTCCCTGGAGGACTGAGGTGCGTCGGATCCAAGCCATGGTCTTTTCAGTCATGTGGAAGTTGGGCAGTGAATGAGGAAGAGCGAAGAAGAATCCAGGCATTTGAGTGATGGTGCTGGCATAGAACATTGAAAGGGCCACGGGCTGCCAGGTAACAATCAATCTCTCCCGGAAGAAGTACAGCCAGAATGATCCTTAGCGTCAAGGATGGCAGGACTTTGTGTCACGTGCTCTAGACGTGTGATTGGGAGAGACCCGTCTCTGGGAAAGGGCATCACGCTTGGTAAAGTGGAGGGGCGGTGAAAAAGAGGAAGACCCTCGACGAGATGGATGGACCCAGTGGCTGCAACAATGCGCGCAGGCATGGATGAGCTGGCGGCTGGCACAGGCCCCGGGGTGTTTCGGTAGGTTGTACACAGCATCGTGATGAGCAGGAACGGACTGGACGGCGCCCCTCAATAACAAGGTGGTGGTCAGTGCTCCTGAGTAGAAGGAGCACAGTAGGTCTCTGGGGCCTGAAAGGAATGACACCCTGCCCCCAGTGCCCGTCCTCGGAGCCCCAGGAGGGAATATAAGCAAGCGCTGTCTCAAGTGATCCTTTGCATTCTCCCTGTAGGATTAACCACAACGAGCGCTTGGAGTTCCTGGGAGATGCTGTGGTTGAGTTTCTGACCAGGTAGGTGGGTATGGCTCTGCTACCTTTCCCCACTCATGGTTACATTTTACAGGTAAAACATACTTAACACAGTGCCTTCTCTGTAATTAGCCAGATAACAGCACTGAGATACCGTGTTCTTTGTCTCCTCTGTCAAGCTTAGCAGGCCCGGGTTCGCGCCCCACTCACTCGCACCCGCCGGTGCGGTAATGAGATGGATTACAAGATGAGAGGCTAGTGTCTGTCCTGTCAAGGCGATGTGGAAGTTGCTTACAGCCACAAGAGATCAGCTTGTCTTGGTCGAGAAGCTGCAGAGCTTATATTCAATTTGTAAAGAAAGGGATGATATTTTAAAATGTCATTTCATTTTCTAAGATTTGTCTTTGATCCCTTTCTCTCTCCTCTGATCTCAGGGGAAGGGAGGCTTAGGCGTAGCTTTAACGACTAGATTTTTGAGCACAAGTGCATGCGCGTTTGTGTGGGTGCATGCGTGTTTCCCCCAGAAGGGTTTTAGGATATTTGATTTGGAGGCAGGGCCAGGGAAGGGGGTTTTGTTTGTCATAGGCCCCTGGTTTCTCTTTAAGAGAGAACTCCCGCTGCCCTCGGCCCTCCGTGGTGGAGCTGCTTGCAGCCTTTCGGTCAGCTCTTTCCAGAAGGAGGGCGCAGGGAGAAGTGCTACAGAAGCTCAGCTGCCCCAGCCAACCAGTGTGAGACCCAGGAGAGGTCAGATGGTCCCAGCTGTGTGGCCCCAGCTGGTTTTCTGAGAGTGATCCTCTTCCCCACCCCCACCCCCTCCTCATGAGCCCCTTGAAGAGCCTCCTGACAGCAGACTAGCGGACTCAGTTCTTCTCCACTCTCCCTGCCTGTGCTGGGCCACTTATACCTCTACCGGCCCTTCAACGGGGCCTCCCAGGAGTCTCTTGCCCAGCCACTCCAACCAAATCCCAGGCCAAGCCTGTGTTGTTTCCAGCCCCGGTGTCATCCGCAGTGTGCAGGGTGACTCCGCTGTTGTCGTCAGGTGTGAGTGTGAGGGCTGTGTGGTTGTAGTGCCTCCAGGTTTCGCGCACTGAGCGTGGAAGGTTCTAGGTCATTGCTGCGACCCGCCAGTCAGCTGGTGTCTGTTGAGTGCCTACTCTGTGGCTCAGGCCCAGACAGAATATCGTGGTGCCTATTTATGTTTCTCTGCTGTTTTCTTTTCACAGCGTCCACCTGTACTATTTGTTCCCTAGTCTGGAGGAAGGAGGCTTAGCGACCTATCGGACTGCCATCGTGCAGAATCAACACCTGGCCATGCTCGCGAAGGTAAAGCCAACACCTGGAGCACAGGTGAAGTCTGGCATTCTCTTCTTCAGCGCAGGCATCATGTTGCATTTCAGTAGCAACTCTGTAGAGCATCCTGAAAGGAGGACTACCAGCAAGTATTTTTGTTTGTTTGTTTGGGTTTTAAGGATTCAGGCTCTCTCGTCCTGGTACTTCTGTGAGTTTCTGCAGCAGCTGCTGAGCTCCGTGGTGAAATATGATCCCAGCGAGGGGAAAAATGAACAGATGCACATGAGCAGAGTTACACATTTGGGGGCCAAGAAGAACACTGGACCAAAGGAAAAGAAAGGAAACGAAACCTGTATTTCCCCATTGTGTAATATTTCTGTACTACTTTTTTTTTTTTTATTTACTTACAAGCAGAACTCTAACTTTAAAATGAGTATGCCAGAACATTTACATCTATTAGGGATACATTTGCAGATCTTTGAAAACACCCCAAAGCACTAATCCCGTTCATTAAGATTTCAGCTGTAGATTGACCATACACCCTAAGGCTTAGCTGAAGACTCTTTTTATTTTTATTTTTTAAAAACATTTTATTAGGGGCTCATACAACTGTTATCGCAATCCATACACACATCAATTGTGTAAAGCGCATTTGTACATCGTTTCTCAAAACATTTTCTCTCCACTCAAACCCCCGACATTAGGTCCCCATTTTTCCCCTCCCTCCCCGCTCCCCCCTCCCTCATGAGCCCTTGATAGTTTATAAATTGGTATTTTGTGCTGAAGACTCTTTTTATCTGACTTGGTGGTCCCATGTGCACCCAGTGTCTTCTCACAAAAATTCCGAGCAGATGCGTGGTCTGGGGGCTTGCATGGCTCCCTGCTCTGTACGCCCTTCCAGCTGAGGGTCACTGATAAAGTGTGCTCTCCTCTAAGTTTGGGCTTGCTTATCTCAAAAGCAGAGACGATGTTGGTGCCTGCCATACTGAATGTGTGTGAAGATTCAAGATTATAATTTGTGTTTTGAATTTGGTCTGCAATATACCTGGCACAGCGCCTGTTTATAGTAATCCCTTAAACATGTTCACAAGCGAATAGGCTCTAGTTATTTCCCATTGCAAATGACCACACAGTCGAGACTTGGGGTCCACTCAGTCGTCGATGGACCTGTGGTTGTAAAGCATGCCCTTGAGAAGCCGGCGAAATGCTTTGGTGAGACTTCCTTGACTTTTGCCTCAAGTACTTTCAATTTCTTCCATTTGTTAGAAAAGTTAGAATTCGACAGAAAAGGACTAGAGAAAAACCCACCGTGGTTTTTATTCACAGATTCTTCACTTGCCAAGGCATTGCTTATATTCAGAATGTGGTCAATTTTAATGGGTAATTTTTGTGCTAGAAAGAATGCAGTTTCATGTTATGTAACATCTTCAGAGTCACAGTGATAGGATTTGAACTTGTCTCCGTGGCCTTTGAGAATGTAATGATGTCTCAGTAAAAATTCGAGGCAAAAGGTATGTTAACTTGGTTATTTTTAGGGTTCAAAAGAGACTCCAAGTCTCAAATGTAATTTAAGGAAAGCATTTATTTAATCTTAAAGAGAAAAAGACAAGACAAAGACGCATCATCCAAATGAAAGTGACAAATAGCGTGAGGTCGTACAGGCATCCAAGGGTTTGCAGAGCTTAGGAGACTTAGAAAGGACTTGGGAGGGCAAAGGAAACTTCTAAACGCAGGGTTGGTGGCAGATTAGTACCGTCACAGCTGCAGAAAGCCACCGTTTCCGCAGGAGTAGAGACAGGCTCGTGATTGGGACACACACCTCGTGCCAGACAGGCGAGCTTGGGAGGTTGGTTCGGTGCCCTCCCAACTAAGGCAGTCGGGAGGTGGCCTGCACCCCTGGGAGCCCAGTTTCCATCCAGAGCATATCCCGTCTGCTTCTCTGTGACTGTGCGGGAGAGTGGCACTCTCGTTTGTGGTCGGAACGAATTCAGTGGTGTCTGAATGTATGGGGATTCATAAATGGAATTAGGGCATTTTTCAAACTTCATGCTCAGTAACTTAAGCTCTCACACAGTTATGGGAGCCCGATGAAGAATGAGGTCGCTCCATTTAAACTAGGCAGTACTCCAATGTAAACTTGCCACAGTGTGTAGTTGACTTAGTTATTAAAAGGTCTCCAGATCACAGACTTTCCATTGGAAAGCACGTGGTAATAATTTACTAACACACACACACACACACACACACACACACACACACCGTTTCCTCCTCACCTTAGTCTATAAAGCAATTTTATCATTGTAAAGGGGGTGTTTACATAAAGTGTGGGGGGTTGTCATTGAAGGAATACAAGCTATTACATCCCACATGGGATGCTATACAAAGCCCAAAGCAGAGACCAAACCAAACTCCGTGCCACCAAGTCGGATGACAGTAATCACGACGCCCTGTGAGGTCCCGAGACTGTGACTGTCTTTCTCCCTCGGAGCTGCCGGTGGTTTCGAACCACCAACCATTCCAATTCCAAGGCCTAACGACTGTACCACCAGGGTTCCTTGAGTAAAGACTGGGTCAGTTTTTACTCCCTGGGACTTCTATGTGGTCTTCCTCTGCACCCCCGCCCAGCCGAGGCAGTCTTATACCACACCCAGCCCACGTGCTCCCACAGAGGCCAACAGGCTCTCAGCTGGCTGCCGTCTAGACCCGTGGCTCTTCACCATTTCTAGGAGGGGGAAATAGCTGCCGGCGGCTGAGTCCTTGAGAATCTAATTAAAAGCTCTACCTCAACTCCACAGACCAACATTCCAACACACACAGTGGACTGCCACTCTGTTTTTAAAGGTCCACTCGTCCCTTCGTGGGAAGAGAAGACCGTCAGAAGTTGGGAAAGTCCTGACATTCCTTCCTCGTTGTTTGTCGAGTGAACGAGGCTTGCCGTCTGCTCTCAAGCAGGGCTCCGGCGATGGCGAGCAGTCTAATTTTCCCTGTGAAATTGTGAAACAGGCGAAATGTATGTATTCTGGAATAAACTCCTGTACTTTGGGATCCATTTTTTAAAAGAGGCGTTTTCTGCTCTTGTGTATGTGGCACTTAAGACTTCCCTGTGAGCATTTTTATGTCATGAATTCCTGGCAACGCAAAACACAGACTGCCTATTTGTCTCATTCCTGTTGTCTGTGGCTCTTTCCACTCTAAATGGAAACGGACATTTAGCATACCCACCAAGACACCTGATAGCTGCGTCATCTTTTATCTGAGGGCTGGTGGGATTCTCGTTGTCTGAGGTTGTTCACTGGCCTGTGGCTCGTTCCTGATCCCGTGGCCTGGCTTTGCGTGGCGAGCACTTGGTGACTCAGATGACATGGCAACGGAATCATTTAAGCTGCTCAGACTTGGCAGCGTGTGGGTCTTTCTCCTGTTGGGGAAGGAATGATTTATCCTTTGTTCCATCTCAGGAGTATTTGACTAACAGTATCTTCAAGATATTCGGTTTGTGTAACACAATGAATATTTAAGTGGCTACTGGAATCCAAGGAAAGTGGAAAATATGGGTAAGGCAGTGAAATGAAGCCAAGGGAGTCAGCACACAAATATATCCATGAGTCCGGGACAATTTCTAGAACTGGGCCACCAGTCTGGCATCATGGAAGTTTGAGGTCAAAGAGACAAGGAAACACCAGGCGGCATTACAAGCACTATTCCCAAAGCCCTTGAACTGAGGTCCCCACATGGGTCGGGAAGTCCCGAGTCCTCAGAGAGAGGAGTTGTCAAAACCTGTAGAAGGGACTCAAGTACAGAGCCACGAGCCCAGACCTTCTCACCCAGTGCTGTGTTCACAGAGGAGACCCTTTGAGGTCTGAAGGGCACCCCTTCCTGCATGATCTGAAAATACTCTTGTACTGACCTGCCCTGTACTATCTAACGCAGTGGTTCTCAACCTTCCTCATGCCGCGACCCTTTCATGCAGTTCCTCATGTGGTGGTGACCCCCAACCATAAAAGTATTTTCGTTGCTACTTCATAACTGTAATTTTGCTACTGCTATGAATCATCATGTAAATATCTGATATGCAGGATGTATTTTCATTGTTATCAATTGAACACAATTAAAGCTTAGTGATTAATTACAAAACAATATATAATTGTATATTGTGAAATATGTATTTCTAATGACAAATCAATGAAATTATCTTGAAGCATGATGTAGCAAGGGTAACAGTCTTCACACCGGGTGCTCGTATGTCGACTTATCTGCATGTGGGTGGACCCACCTGGAGATGGATAGAGGAGCGGTGTCTCAGTTTCTAAGACCATGGGACATATGTGTTTTCCGATGGTCTTAGGCAATCCTGTGTAAGGGTCGTTCAACCCCCAAAGGGGTCGAGACCCACAGGTTGATCTAACAAGTCAGAGAAAACTGACATCTAAAACTTTGGGTTGGGGTTGTGGCCCTCTCGACTTCGCGTGAACCCAGGGGCCATGGTTTTGTGGCTGAGACTTAGGCCAACCTTTGCCAGTGCTTGGTCCTACCATGGAATTGGACAGTTCTGTTCTGGTCAGGATGAGAACCCTCGTGAACTGTCAGTTTGGGGAAGAGCCTAGGTTAGTCCAAGCTGAATCGTGTACAAAGCTTAGTGTCTGGCAGACTAAATCCTCTGAGACATTAGCATACCAGGACACACCTTCCCCCAGAGAGCCAGTTTGCCATTTCAGATTTGTCACTTTCTTGCTTTCTGTCATTTCCAATTCTGTAGAAACTTGAGCTGGACCGATTTATGCTCTATGCTCACGGACCTGACCTGTGCAGAGAGTCAGACCTTCGGCACGCAATGGCTAATTGTTTTGAAGCGTTGATAGGTAAGGTCTCCTTTTATAATCCCGTTTCTTGCCTAAGATGTCTGGGGAGCACATAACATCCAGAACTGGGACTGGGGCAGAATCCCTTGTTCTCAAAGCATAGGAAGCACCTCGCATCAAACCTATCCTCTTGTATTGCTGTTCATTTCATCCTTCCAGCACAACAGTGCTGTGGACCTTTCTTGGCATTCCTGGCCCCTGAAACAGCATGGGATATTGTGGAGAGGCTAAGTCTTTGCTGGATTGAATGGAAGTGATTGATAGGGAGGTTAATTACTTTCCAGGTTAGATTCAGGATCTTGTCCATAAATGAACAGAATGCAAAACTGAGCTGTTGGTTTGGGAACGTTATGAGGAGTTAATTAGCTGGTGATTGTAAGTGTGTTTTACAATTAAATGTTACAGTAGCTTGACAATTTCTTGTTGGTTTTTTTTCCAGGTAAATTTTTCATAGGCCTCTGTACTTATCATTTGTGTCCCTTCCTTTGAAAATGAAAGGCCTGCCTTTTTCTTGTCCAGTGCTAATGGTGATAGCAAGAGCTGTGTAACGATTGCCCCAGGTCGTAGGTCTCATTCCGAGTGTGTCCCCTGGGAGTTCTGTGGTCTTTGGACACAATGCTTCTAACAGACAGGGTTCCGGTTGGTTCCAGAGCCGGAGCCGGCATTCAACTCCCAACTCCTTCGTTTGCCATCACTGTGTCTTTGGCAAATTCCTGAACCTTGTTGAGTCCCAGCTTCCCCATGTAAGAGATGCAGATGGTGTCCCTGCCCTCAGAGCGGTAGGAAGCATTTTAATATGCAATTCTGACAGCATTCAATTTCCAATTCCACTCCCATCAATTGCCAGCCCATTTCCTTAAATCCTCCCCCAAATCACTCAAGACAAGCTCAAATCCTGTTTTACTTTTTTTTTAAAACAAAACAAAAATCTCACCTCCTCCCTGCAGTGGCCCAGGAGGGTGACGATAAGAATGGGAAAATGCATTGCGTGTAACCAGCTCCCAAGCCATATGTCCTCTTTTTATCATTACTAATATAACCATAAGCATTCAATGTTTTGAGTCCTGATTACTTAAGTTTGTGGAATTTTTTTTTGAAAATAGCCTTCCTAAAGACAGTGTAAAAAACAGGTTGAAGAAAATGCACCTGCCTTATTGTCGGCACTGGGCTTGGGGTCTGCTTCCATCATGGGGTGTGCAATCACCAGGCATGGGAGCTGGCTCGGCAGCAGTAGGTCCAACTCATGGGATCCTGGCACCCAGTTCAAACGTGACACCAGTGCCAGTGTGACTAAGGCTATTTTGTCCAGAGCACTTACTAATTATTTCACGTTGAAGATAAAGGCCACCCTTGTTTTGATGTGCAAAAGTCTTCATTGACCTCACCCGAGGTGTGTCCTTCAGCAGATTGTCTTTAGATACCTGGATATTTTGGGCCAAAAACACAGAGACAGAAAATACAACCATGTTCTCCCTAAGACCAAGTGATTTGTGCATAGGCCCCTTTCACAGGAGCCAAGTGTAGGCCCTTCATGGCAGCTCACATGTGCCCTCTCTTAAATAAGAGATTTACATGTCAGTGCATTGAAGGTTTTAGCTCCACCTACTCTGCATTACAAAGTAAGTTATTGTTGTTCTTAAATGTCACCAGTCGGCTCCCATTGATAGCGACCCTCTGCACAACCGAATAAAACACTATCCGATCGTGGGTCATCCTCACAGTTGGTCCTCTGCCTGAGCTCATTGTTGCAGCCATTATGTCAGTCCATCTCATTGAGAGCCTTCCTCTTATCTGCCACCCGTCCACTTCACCAAACACGATGCCCTCCTCCTGGGGGCACTGGTCTTTCCTGACATGTCCAAAGTATATAAGATGGGAGTCTTGCCATCCGTGCCTCTAAGGAGCACTCTGGCCTTATTTCTTCCAATAAAGATGGGTTTGTCCTTCTAGCAGTCCATGGTACTGTCAATATTCTTCTCAGAGCCACAATTCAAATGCATCATCCAGCTTTCACGTACATACGATGCAATGGAGAATACCACCTTAGTCCTTACTCTTTAATACTCTCAAGAGATCTTGTGCAGCAGATGTGCCATATCAACGATACTTTTCAATAGTTTGGACATTCTATTGCGTCGTCTTTCTTTGGAATGAGCACAGATATGGATTTCTTCCAGCCAGGTAGCTATCTTCCAATTTTCCTGACATAGACAAGTGAGTGCTTCCAGTGCTTCTTCAGCTTGCTGAAACATTTAAATGGATATTCCGTCAATTCGTGGAACTTTGTTGTTGGCTAATGGATTCAGTGCAGCTTGAACTTCTTCCTTCGACACTTGGCTCTTGCTCATTTGCTGCCTCTTGAAAGGGTGGAATGTTAAATAGTTCTTTCTGGTCCATTGACTGTATTCTTTCTATCGTCTCTTGATGCTTCTGCATCATTCAATAGAATTTTTCAAAATTGCAATTCAAGGCCTGAATTTTTTTTTTTCTTGAGTTCTTCCCGTTTCAGATTTGCTGAGCGCATTCTCCCCTTTGGGTTTTCTATTCTAAGTCCTCTCACATTTCATAACGATATGTAGCCTTGTCTTCTTGCGCTGCTCTTTGAAATGTTCTGTTCAGCTCCTTGACGTCATCCTGTCCTCCTTTTGCTCTGGCTGCTCCAGGATTAGGAGCAAGTGGCATAGTGTCTTCAAATGTCCACTTTGACCTTTCCTTTCTTCCCTGTCTTTTTAATGGCCTTTTGCTTTCTTCATGTGTGATGATGGTCGGGATGTCCTCCCAGAGCTCATCAGGTCTTGTCATTAGTGTTCAATGCATCAAATCTGTTCTCAAGATGTACTTGAAGTTCAGGTGGGATAGGCACAAGGTTGTATCCTGGCTCTCCTGGACTCGCTTTAATTTTCTTCAGCTTTATCCTCAACTTACATATGAGCAATTGATGGTCTGTTCCACAGTGGAACCTGGTGTGGTTTCAACTGCTGACCCTGATCTTCTCCATCATGTCTGCCCACAGATGGAGTCAATTTGATTTCTGTGTATTCCATCTGGGGAAGTCCATGCGTGTGCCTTTTGTGCTGTTGAAAAAAATGACTTGCTACGAATAAGTTGTTGGGTTTGCAAAATTCTATCAAGCGATCTCCAGCTTCATTTCTATCACCCAGACCATATTTTCCAATTATTGTTCCTTCCTTGTTGTTTCCAACTTTTGCATTTCCATCACCAATAAATATCAGTGGATCTTGATTGCATGTTTGATCACTTTCCAACTGAAGTCCTTGGTAGACTTCTTTGTCAGTAGCTTTTGTGGTTGATGCATAAATTTGAATAATAGTTGTATTGATTGGATTTCCTTGAAGGCCCACAGATGTACTGATCACAGACAGCATGGTACTTCATGATGGATTTATCAAGATCCTTGCTGACAATGAATGCCAGGCCATTCCTCTTGATTGTGTTATTTCCAGAATAGTAAATCACATGATTTCCTGATTCAAAATGGCCAGAACCAGTCCGTTTCAGCACACTAATGCCTAGGATATCAATCTTCATGCATTTCATTTTGTTTTTGACTTCTTCCAGTTTTCCTACATTCATACTTCTCACATTTTAAGTTCCAGTCATTAGAAGACTTTTGCAGCTGCTTCTCTGTACCCTTGAGTCGTGCCCCATCAGCAATGAGGATCCCAAAGGCCTTAACGGACTCACATCACCGTGGCCGACGCCCTCCAAGAAATCACTTTTTCGGTCACGTTTCAAGTATCCTCAGACTGAGGGGCTCATCTGCCGGCAGTATTTTTGACAATGTCCTATTTCCTTGGCCTAGCCTATCAGTGCTTGACAATGCTTGAAGCCAGGCATGCAATTTCTGTGCCTTCTTCTTCCCAAGTGGAAAGCCAAGTTCTTCATCGTTTTCTGTTCTTTGTCTGGAAGCTCTGCCAAAACCTGTTCACTTTGAGTGACCCTGCGGGCATTTGAAACACCAGTGGCATTGCTTCCACCATCACAGCAACACATAAGCCACCACAGTACGACAAACTGACAGATAATTGGTGGTCTTGTGCAGTAGATTTTTTACCGAATGCAACACTGCTTGACTGCTGCTTCCATGAGCATTGATTGTGAATCTAAGTAAGACAAAATGCTCGACAGCTTCAACCTTTTCTCCACTTATCCTGATGGTACTTCTTGGTCCAGTTGTGAGGAAATTTGTCTTCTTCATATTGAGTGGTAATCCATACTGCAGGCTGCAATCCTTGGTCCTCCCATCAGTTTAAGTGTTTGAAGTCCTCTCTTTCAGCATGGAAGGTTGTGGAATTTGCTTATCACTACAGGCTGCTCATAAGCCTTCTTCCAATCCAGATGTCACACTCTTCCTCATATAATCCCAGCTGTTCTGATGACTTGCTCAGCATATAGATTGAACATGTATGGTGAGAGGATACAGCCCTGAGACACACCTGCCCTAATTTTAAACCTTGTGATATTCGGAACTTGTTCTGTTCACAAACTGCCTCTTGATTCATGTACAAGTCCTGCAGGAGCACAATGAAGCGATCTGGAATTCCCTTTCTTCTCAAGGTCATCCACGGTTTACTGTGGGCCGCACAGTCAGGTTCTTGGCATAGTCAATAAAACCCCAAACAGTACCTCTGCAGCTGTTGCTTCTGCTCGGGTTAATTTTGCGTCTGCCCGTGGGTTTTTTTTTTTTGCTTGCCTTCTCGCATTTTCTAGAAAGTTAATTCCTCCGAGCATTAATGCAGCCTCTCTTCCTGTCATCTAGGAGCTGTGTACCTGGAGGGAAGCCTGGAGGAAGCCAAGCAGTTGTTTGGACGTCTGCTCTTTAATGATCAGGTACTTACCCTGAGCCAGGGAAGTTTTCTCATTTCAGTATCATGGCGGGAGGTCTCATCTCATCTAGCCCTTGCGCCTTGAAGCTACTAGAGAGACACCAAATGTCTGTCCATGGAAAGAATAATTTCAAGTACGCCTGGCCACCCGACAGTGGAATAGAAGTAGGAATGTGAACTTGCTGCTGCCTCCCGGCTGCACTCATTCCAGCATGTTGCTGACGCGTGTTCCCGCTGAGGTTCGTGTATGCAGCTCACCAACATGAAAGTAGCATCCGTGTTTACAGGACCCGCCAACAAGGGATGATTTTGGCTTGAAGTAGCTGGTCAGCAAATTGTTAAGAAGCCTTTGCCTCATTGATAAAGTATCTTAAAGTTAATCATAATTGAGTGTTTTATGATCAGGGATGTGAAGTATTCCTGGAATCCAGTGTCTTGTCTTACCAGAAGAAATACTTGCTTTGGGAAGACATAAGGTATCACAAAAGCATTTTATTAAGAAACCCCGAAAGAGGAAGAAAATCCTTCCGTGCCAGCACGGCTGGTCTCCGTGTTTTCTTACTTCCCACGTGAGTACTCAGCCTTTGAAGAGTTCACACAGTGCAAATTCTGGAGAACTTTCCCTGGAATAACAAGAGGTTCTAGGAAATGCAGTCCCAAGATACTGTCACCGATCCCATGCATATGCTGTCTAATCTCCGCCTTCACTTCCTTGCTCTGTTGAAGCTCCATGGCCTTTAGGCATTCCTCCTTAGGGTGGGTTTTCTACCTTTATTTTTGTACGTGATTCAGAGTATCGACTCTAAATCAATACATGCATGTTGATGTAGAAAGCCAGTTCCCAGGACGTGTTCACTAGGGTTACGACAGGTAGGGCGTGGAAGTGGTCAGCCAAGTGTACTTTCAGGAAAAGCCAAAAAGAAACGGAAATAGCCCCGTTGTTAACAAAATAGCATCCTAAGCTATTATTATTGCTCAAGATACCTTTTGAATCCTGCATGTAATCAAGTATACGTGAGGCTCTTTGTACCAAAACAAGCCAATTTCACATTTAAAGGGAGAGGCAGCTCTCTTCCAAATTGAAATGTCATTGTCATTGAGCGAAATAGCCCCCCCCTGCGCAGGAAAGCACACGGGAAGCCCAGGTTCTGAGCCTCGGTACAACCTCCAGCTTAAGTGGCTGTCAGATGCTATTACTCTTATTACTTAGGATGGTTAAGAAATCAAGGGATCAATAGGCTTGAGAAACGTGAGGTGGGCGATGTCTGTACCTGAGGATTTGGCTTCTCCGCTTGTTTTCATGGAGCTGAGCGACGGTTTGGGTATATGCGACTCTCCTTCCCATGGGGGAGTTTGTCTGCGGAGCAGCCAGCCACGTCCCCACCTGGCCCTGCACAGATAGGCAAGTGTGCAGCTTGATCTGTCGGGAGCAGATGGCATGTATTTTAAGACATTTTCCCAAGTCCTAAAATAAGCTGTTTTGGCTTTACTCTTTTGTTGGCAATTTCAGCCACTTTTTAAAAAACGCAGACTTTATTCCTTCGATCTTGCTTCCAGGCCCTCGCTCACCACCCAGCTCCCCAGCCTCAACCTCGCCTCACCCCACCCTTCTTCCGATCTCACTCACCGCCCTTAGCCTCTCTGGGTCCCCGCTTTCCTGAATGACAGGCAGCCTTCCACTTTGTGTTCTTAATTGCATCGGAGTTTTTATTAAGATTTTCTTTTTTTCCTCTCCTTAAATGGCTTCCTTCCCTCCTGTCTACTTAGCAAGCTTATCTTGTGTTTCCAGTACCTCGGTGCAGGGCCGCCATGCACAGGATTTGATACATATTTGTTCAGAGAAGAGCATGAACGGAGCACGGAATGGAACAGCGGACTCTGAGCTTTCTCTTCCAAAGGGATGGAAGCGATTCACAATTCGGTTCAGTGTGTCTTTTGTGAAATACAACAGGGCGCAGTAATAGACGGGTCTTCCCACATCAACGTTTCCAAGTCTGCTTGGGCTTCCCGAGTTGTCGGAGAGCGCCATGCTGGGTCACAGCTCAGCATTCGCAATAGGAGACCCATTGGCTGGGCCATAGTACTTTTTTTTTTTTTTTTTCCATACTGGCACTGTGAAAGCCCAGTGAGCCAGAGGCAGCCAGGACAAACCTACAGTGGTCACCTCAGATTCATTGACTTATGCAGCAAGGGAGGTCACGTGACCCCTCCCACCCCCACCCGCTAGCCCCCATAGGGAGGACGCCAAGGCCTGTCAGGCCTGGGCTCGTGCCTTCTGATTGCCACACGGGCTGGGCAAGCAGGCAGCACGTCTTGCTCGGCTGCCTTCTCTGACCCAGCTCATGAGAACCGCAGGGTTCATTGGGAGCTGGGCGTCATCATGAAGCGAGGGCAGGTCAGCCACCGAGTGCTTCCAGCCATCTCTATAAGGGAGGGGAGGAATGGTGTCGCCGGACAGGGCAGCATGGGCCAACCTCCTGGTCACTCAGAGAGGGGCTCCTTGGGGGCATTGTGCAGCCACTGGGTGACCTGGAGGGACACATTGTTTCCTCTCCACGAGGCAGCTGGCTCTGCCTCTGCCCGCCTCATGCCTGGCGAGCAGCAGGCTGGTCTCACCCGTCCAGCCTGAGACAAGTCTTACTCTTTCAGCCCCAGACACTTCCTACTCGCTCAGGAAGGTAACTTTTCCGTATCTTAGATCACAGCCCTTCCTGGTTTACCCAGTGCACTCCTTTCTTAGAAAGAGAGCTGCTTGCTGCGGAATTGACCTGTGGTCCATAGGGTTTGCCCCGGCCATCTTTCCGGAAGTAGATCCCCAGACCTTGCGTCCTGGCACCTCAGTGTGGGCTGCAGCTACCAACTGGTCAGCAGCCAAGCAGGTCAGCTCAGCTGTTAGCA